AACAGCCACGACCATCACGATAACCACACCTATTGAACGGCTGCGAATGATTGGCAAAGGTCAACGGAAACCCAAATGAAGAATGGCCCGAAAGTAGGGTCAGCAGCGCCGTGGTAGAGACAACCACCTGATGTCCGCCTACATGTGGCCCAGCCGTTGCTATACCATGGCTAGGGCTATACCCACGCCGAGGCCCGCCAGGAAGGCCAGCTGTTGTGTTGTCCAGCCTAGGGAGGGCAGAGACGTTGTGGAGAGGAACCATCGGACAACTGGCCGATGGAGGAGAGAGGAAAGTCAAGGTCGGTCGAAGAAAAGAGAGCTAATAGGTTCACGGACGACTCCTTGTGACCTCGGTAAATATGTTCCTACGTGAGCAAAAGCGACTGGGGATCCTCAAAACTTATCTTTTCCTTAGTAGAGACGTGTTGAAATTCGGGACGAAGACCCCAAAAGATGTCATAAAATCTTCATACGAGAGTGGGCGACCGGCAACGACAAGGTTATGCTCAAGAGTTTTAATCTTGCCAAGGTAGGTAGAGATGGAGGAATCCTTTTGCCAACATTCGAGAAGTTCCTCATGAATTTGTAATGCTCTGGAGTTCGAGGGATTAGCATAGGCAGTCGCGAGGGCACTCCAAATATCGACGGATGTCTCTTTTCCAACAATCACAGGGAAGCACTCCTCGGAGAGGAACGAGAGGATGATAATCTTCATGTGGTCATCGTTTTTCTTCCACAAAGCAAAATCAGGATTGACCGTAGAAGTGGACTGATCTGCAAAAAATATATCGGAAGGCGGGTGAGTAGAAGTCCCATCAACAAACCCTAGTAGGGATTGGCTCGAGAGAAAGGGATGGATCAAAGTATGCAAGTAGAGGTAATTGCTTGAAGGTGATGTAGTGGTGTGCGTGTTTCACAGCATTAGCAACAGAGAAGGAGGTGGAAGAACCGAATAAGGAAGAGGCCGAGGTAGAGGAGTAATCATCACCGAAAGCCATGGAGTAGCGGCGGCGAAGCTAGGATTAAGTGGTCGAAACTAGGTTAGGGTTTGTGCCCGAAAAAAGAGACCCTAGCTCTGATACCAAATTGAAAATATTTCCTCCATTGATTGAACAATCTTATGATACAATGTCCCTATATATACCATCTATACAAAACCCTAATTAGGGATAATTACAGCGCATGTAAAATTACCACTAGGGACATAATATTTATCTCAATAGTCAATGTGAGGAAAACATAAGAAAATGTGCTAAAGAATTGACACTTAAAATTATCATCATATGTTGCTTTTTCATAACAGCACTCATTTTAAGCCTTTTTCCTTGGACATGGAATAATAGAGAAAATTTAAAAATCCATATGGAAGAACCCTTCATCCTTACTCTTAAGCTTAGTGTCCTTTAGATAAATTTTTCGAGATAAGGGAAGCCCGTATGGTCTGTCTAAAGATTTTTCGAGATAAGGGGAAGCCCATGTGGTCTGTCTAAAAATACAAAAGCTAATACTAGCACTTGAAGTGTAAACAATATCGAGAAGATTACTTTTGAGGACATTAGGGCCAATAGCATTGAGCCAAGGCCCCTAAGGTCTGAACTCTGAACACATCATCATTACAGAGCTAATGTTGAATTTCAGCTACCATAAGAAAAGATTTCCCCTTATTGACATTTTAAATCTATCCTAATTACCCATTCGCTCTTGAATTTTTATATTCCAATCTGGAAACTTCTAAGTCCAGAAACAAGAGGAACCAACATGGAAAATGTAATAAGAGGGATCACAGACCTGGAACTCCCTGGGGGTTATGGAACGTCCTTTCCAGATTCTTCGAGGACATTTGTACGCTAAGTCCTCTGAAATAAACCCAGTCCCATCAGTATGGATCATCAAATTGCCATCTTCATCGAATACATTACGACCATCTTCATCCTTTGAATTATAACAGCAATATATAAAATGCCACTTTCAATAATTGAGAAATATCAAACAAGAAAAAGCTGACACAGAAACAAAAAGGCTCACTATGCAAGGTATGTCTTCAATTTGCTCAACAGTAACAGATGCAAAGTCCAGTTTCAAGTTGATAGTCTTCGATAAGATTAGTGAAAACCTGAAAGAACCAAATTATTAATATTTACTAGAAAATCATCTTATAGTTCAAAGGTGCACTATACTCACTACAAAGATCAAACTTAAGGAAAAACATATAAACAGTATATAACAAAATAACCTGGCCATGTACTTCTCCACGCTCGGAAGTGTATGTACATGCATGAAAATGTTGCGTGCTTCCTGTATAGATTTATTAGTCAGAATATATGGCTTGTTCACATCCAGAACCCACTTGGATTCCGTACGAACAAAATAGCACTTCACCGACGAGGAAGCTGGATCCTTGCTCTTCTCCTTCCCCCCATCCTTGAAGACTGAAAATTTTCGAGGAAAAAATAAATATTAGAAAAAGCTAAACAAGCAAATTTTATTCACTATTTGACATGAAATAAAAGAAACAATCTACTTTTAAAAATTTAATATTCAGGAGTATTCAAAGTGAGTAAGCATAAGATAGAAAGAAATCCTTAAATGTAATTCCATAATTTCAACTATAATTATTATATGTCATAAGTATGCCCAAGAACTTCGAACCCATTAAAGCATTTAGCTTGTTGTACTAATCGTCGTTCTAACTTCCAGTCTATCCTCTCAGAAAATAGATAACCACAACCAAATTGGGTTGAAAGATCTGGAAACATAAGCACTATCTAAAATGCAAGATAACAGACAAATTTATCAAATTTATCAAATTACCAAAAAACCGATAACGACGTAGACCCATGATTATGCCTTCCTCAGCAATCCTATGGTAAAGAAACTTATGATTGGAATAATCGTTTCCAGAAGAGAACTTCACCATCAACACATTATCATCACCAAGCACCCGATGGAAGTGAGTGCTTGTGTCTTCAAGATAAGGACCCTGGAAAATCAATAAAGACTTCATAACATACCTCTTCAAAGAAAACAGAACTTTGCATATGAACATTCAAAGACATAATTTCTACATCATCACTAAAATTTACATTCTTAAATTTGTCCTGAAGAGTAAAGAATCTATGCTAAAGTTATTTAGACCATCTCCCATGGGAACCTACCTTGGGATATGTCTCAAGTGACTCAATTGGTTGAGTGATAAAAGAAAATCGAGGAAGAAACATGGAGTCAAGCAAGAAGTGGCTCTTCTGGAAGAATCGCAGACTGGAATCGAACACTTTATTGCTTAAATTTTATACATAATTAAAAGTTATTAGGAACATCACCCACAGGAATCTAACCCGGGATATGTCTCAAGT